TGGGCCCCCCAGCAGGCTTCGAAAGCGGCGACAGTTTCACAGATCGCATCCCCCCAGGGATGGTGAGGTGCAATTTCAATCCGCCGTGTGTACCCACTGTGCTGGGCCCCCCGGCAGGCCTCGAACGTGGCGACAGTTTCACTGATCGCAGCCCCCCAGGGATGGCGAGGTGCAATTTCAATCCGCCGTGTGTAGCCACTGTGCTGGGCCCCCCAGCAGGCCTCGAAAGTGGCGACAGTTTCACAGATCGCAGCCCCCCAGGGATGGCGAGGTCCAATTTCAATCCGCCGTGTGTACCCACTGTGCTGGGCCCCCCAGCAGGCCTCGAAAGTGGCGACAGTTTCACAGATCGCAGCCCCCCAGGGATGGCGAGGTGCAATTTCAATCCGCCGTGTGTACCCACTGTGCTGGGCCCCCCAGCAGGCCTCGAAAGTGGCGACAGTTTCACAGATCGCAGCCCCCCAGGGATGGCGAGGTGCAATTTCAATCCGCCGTGTGTACCCACTGTGCTGGGCCCCCCAGCAGGCCTCGAAAGTGGCGACAGTTTCACAGATCGCAGCCCCCCAGGGATGGCGAGGTGCAATTTCAATCCGCCGTGTGTACCCACTGTGCTGGGCCCCCCAGCAGGCCTCGAAAGTGGCGACAGTTTCACAGATCGCAGCCCCCCAGCTGGCACGCAGCGACGAGCGAGGCAAAAGGCAAGGGGGAGGAGAGGGGCGGGAAGGAAGAAAGGAGACGCGCGAGCAGTGCTTTATTCAAAACGAGAACCCAACGCAGGAGGGTTGGGAACAATGCAACGTTTTTAAAACATCAAGCCCGACGGGTTCAAACAGGACGGTCCCAGCCAAAAGTGTTCTGAGAGCATGTGGTGCAGACCACCAAAGGCTCTCGGAACATGCTTTGGCAGGTCTATAGGCCCGCCGGGACGCTTCGCCACTGCTCGAGGCAACCCGGGGAACGCCCTCCGCGAAGTGCAACCGCTGCTCCCTCCCCGACGCCCTCCCGAGCCGACCCTCCCCCCCCCACGCTGCCCGGCGGCAGAGCCAGAGGCCTCCTAGATGGGGTCGGAGGATCGCGCCGCCTCGCCGACACATCGCCGACACATCGCCGATGCATCGGCGATGCATCGGCGATGCATCGGCGATGCATCGGCGACGCCAGCGTGGAGAATAGCGGGCTCCACCTCGAGCTGCATCGCCGATGCATCGACGACACGGCGCCATCCTCCGAACCCATCTGCTCCGACCCCATCTCGGAGGCCCACACCAACGTTGCCCCCGAGTGCTGGTCTGACCTCCAATGCCCGTCCGCCCCGACGGGCACCGCCCGCAGATGCCGCCCCTCCTCCTCCTCCTCCTCCTCCTCCTCCTCCTCCTCCTCCTCCTCCTCCTCCCTCCTCCTCCTCCTCCTCCTCCTCCTCCTCCTCCTCCCCCTCCTCTTCCTCCTCCTCCTCCCTCCTCCTCCGGCACGGCACGAGGAGGAGCCATGGGCAGGACGAGGGGGGGAGCCCCGCTGCCCTCGAGCCCTCACGACGGCCGCCCGGCAGCCCGCCGGCCTCGCCTCCACCGCTCGAGGAGCCGCAGAACGCGCGTCAGAGCCAGCGTGTGCCTGCCCACTGCGGCCCCTCACCACGACGAGGGCGATGTGAGGATCGACTGGTTGGGCTGCACGGGGTAGACACACGCATAGGAGGAGGATGAGGGGAGGAGGAGGAGGAGGAGGGGGAGAGAAGGAGGAGGAGGAGGAGGAGCGGAGGAGGAGGAGGAGGAGGAGGAGGAAGAGGAGGAGGAGGAGGAGGAGGAGGAGGATGGGGCTAACGCACGCCCTGAGGATCATCGAGCCGACACCGCCCTGCCGAGCGCCTCCCCCCTCGCGCCTCGGCTGCCCCTGGCAAAGGACCCTCCCGAGACAGCTGCGCGCCGCCTCGGCCTCGGCGGGGGCGCCAAGGGCGCCAGCGGCCACGGCCGCCTCGGGCTCGCCGGCCTGAGCGGGGGCCCGCTGAGGGGAGCCTCGGGCCCTGGAGGCTACCGAGCGGCAGCCCACGACCCGCGGACACATCCGTACCGGCGCCTTCGCGGTCTGGATTCTGAGGCGCGACCATGGGCCCTCTGCCCTCCCTTCGATCGAGCCCTCTTGGAGCTCTCCCAAGCCGTCTTGCGATACGCGGTCGCACGGATTCATTCTGCTCGGGGCATGGGCGAAATGACGCCCCGTATCCGCTGGGTCGCGATCCAGGGGACCTGCCCGCGAGGCCGAGGATACGAATATGTTTTTCGCCCACGAGGTCCGAGAAAAATGCAGTAGGAACTCGACCGTAAGAAACCTTCCGCAAGAAACCCAACCCTGGAACCCCAGGACGTCCATTATTTTTGTGGTGTAATAGTAAGGCATGCTTTCCACGACAAGACCACCCCAGGACGTCCATTACCTTTGTGGTGTGGGGAGGTCATGCTTTCCACATCAAAACCATCAAAAGCCAAGACACCCAGGGCATCCTGGAGGCACGCCCAAGATAGCCCCCAGACGCCCCAAAAGGCCTCCAAGAGCACTCCCAAGAGGGCACCCGGAGGCAAAAATCATTATTTTTTCCTTAGGTTTTTGAGAGATTTTGGAGCTTCCACCTTTTCGGCTTCCCGACGCCCCAAGACGGCCCAAGAGGCCCCCAAGATCGCCCCAAGAGGGCCCAAGAGGCCCCCAAGAGGGCCCCAAGATGGCCCAAGAGGGCTCGAAGACGGCCCAAGAAGCCTCCAAGATGGTCCAAGAGGGCCCCAAGAACGCCCCCAAAGGGGCCCCAGAGAGGGAACACGAAACAACATTTCGAGCCCTCGGCCCTAAGAAGCCCCTACGAGGCCCCAAGAGGCCCCTAAGAGGCCCCAAGAGGCCCCCACGAGGCCCTCAGGAGGCCCCCAAGAGTCCCCCAAGCGGCCCCAGGAGGCCCCCCAAATGCCCCCCGAGCGCCCCAGGAGTCCCCCAAGCGGCCCCAGGAACCCCCAAAGCGCCGCATTGACACCAGGCCCTCGGGCAAACGGCAGACATGAGACTGTATGGGCCGGCGGAATGAGCGAAGCGATTAAATAATCATGAATCCGCCGACCCCTTGTGGGTCTCCAGACGTGCCGCATTGTTCCCCCCCCAAATCCCCCCCAAGGACCCCAAACTTGGCGTTTCTCCCCCCCTCGCCTCCCCTTACCCCTGGATAAATTCATGAGGGAGGGGACCAAGCCCTCCCCGGGGTCCTCTTGCGGCTCCTAGAGGGCCTCTGAGGACTCAAGAGGCCCCAAACAAGGTCCAGCTTGCCTCCGAGACGGTCTACGAAGCCTCGAAGACGCCCCAAGAGAGGTCCACGAGACTCCCCAAGAGAGCAAACATCACAGATGTTCTTCCAAGTTGTTGCAGGTTGTTGGAGATGTTGCCTTTTCGGCTTCCCAGCGTTACAAGGCAGCCCAAGAGGCCCTCCCCCTCCCCCTCCCCCTCCCCCTCCAAACAGCCCAAGAGACCCCAATGAAGTCCTCAAGACGACCCGAGGGTACCCCAAGACATCCCACGAGGCCTCCGAGAGGGCCCCCGGAGGCCCCTACGAGGGTGCCGACGGTGCCCCACGACGTGTCCTCAAGCGGGAGCGCACGCACTGAGATGCCGAGCCCCCCCCCCCCCGTCAACGTAGCGCCCAAGGTCCCCGACATGCCCCCCAAGAGGCTCTACGGCCCCAAAGAGCCCTCCCAACAAAAACTCCAAGAGGCTCCCAAGAGGCCCCACCGAGGCCAGGAGTGGCCCCGAGAGGCCCTCGCGAAGCGGTATAGAGCTGGGGGGCAGGCTGCCCCGGGGGGCTCGGCCCAGGGGTATGCCGATTGTCGATTTAGACAGGTCGAGCGAATCAGAAAGCCTAGCCTACTCCCAACATCCTTCACACAACGTGAACTTGGACCGCGCTCCCACTTCGCAAACGGAACACGCTCGCCCGCGGTCCCGCCTCCTACGGCTTCGTGAAGAGACAACTACGCGGGCCGCGCAGGGGCGGGACCGGCAAAACTTCCGATGGGTGCGGCGAAGACGAAACACGCGCCGCGCTGACACAGCAGGGCCACGTTCACTCACGAACTGCAAAGCGTCTGGGCGAGGTCGGCGTTTCGCCCGATCCCGCGCGGCCCCGCTGTCGTTGTCGCTTTTGTGCACTTCGGCGAACGAACCATGCGCCGCGCCCGCGCTGGAACGCTACTTTCGAGCCACATGCGCACGGGACTTGGGCGGAGACAAGAAGTCGCCCGCTCGCGCGCCCCCCAAAACACTGGCGGGTGACAAGCATGCGCCGCGTCGAGGCGGGAACATCACTTTCGCGCGGAATCTGCGCGGCGCCTGGGCGAAAACGACAGTCTCGTCCGCTCGGGCACCAACGAAAACACGTGCGACAAAGGTGTGCCGCGCCCGAGCGGGAGCTCGATCCTCCAGGCATGGGCACGGCGCCGAGAGACACTTCGGCCTCTTCGCGCAGGCTGTGCGCCCCGCCCCGCTCCAGTCGGGCATGCTGCAACATGGACGACACAATGCCCCTGGTGTGGCGGCGAAGAACGTGAACTGTACATTGTGCTTGTTATTGTTAGAATGGGAGGGCCCCCAAACAGCCCGGGACACCTCCAAGAGCAACGGTTCCAGAGGGACCCGAGACAGCCCCAGAGGCTTCCAAGATGGCCGAAGAGACTCCCAAGACGGCTCCAAGAGCGGACCCAAACGGTGGACCCAAACGGACATGTCGAGCTCTAGGCGCAGAGACGTCCCCTGGAAGCCCGAAGAGGCCCCCAGAACGCCCACAAGAGGCCCTCGGGAGGCCCCAAGATACCCCCGAGAGGCCCCAAGAGACCTCCCAAGAGGCTCCACAGAGGCAGAAATCATTGATTTCCCTTTAGTATTTGAAGGTTCTCGGCGTTCTCGCCCTGGGAGCTTCCCGGCGCTCCAAGACGGCCCAAGAGGCTTCCAGGATCGCCCCAAGACGACCCAAGAGACCTCCAAGAGCGCCCACAACTGCCCCAGAGGGCCCCAAGACAGCCCCGGAGGCCTCCAAGATGGTCGAAGAGGTCCCCGAGACGGCTCCAAGAGCGGACCCAGACGAGGGACCCGAGCGGACATTTCGAGGTCCAGGCGCAGAGAGGTTCCCTGGAGGTCCCAAGAGGCCCCCAGAAAGCCCCCAAGAGGCCCCCGAGAGGCCCCAAGAGACCCCAAGAGGCCTCAAGAGACCTCCCAAGAGGCTCCACAGAGGCAGAAATTAGTTAGAGACTTTCCTTTTGAAGGTTCCAGGATCGCCCCAACACGGCCCAAGAGACCTCCAAGAGCGCCCACAACGGCCCCAGAGGGCCCCAAGACAGCCCCGGAGGCTTCTAAGATGGCCGAAGAGGCTCCAAAGATGGCTCCAAGAGCGGGCCCAGACGAGGACGTTAACTGACATTTTGAGCTCTAGGCGCAGAGAGGTCCCCTGGAGGCCTCAAGAAGCCCCCACAAAGCCCTCAAGAGGACCCCGAGAGGCCCAAAAAAACCGCCAAGAAGCCCCCAGAAGCCCCCCGTACCGCCCCAGGAGGTGTCAGACATACCGCAAAGGGGCCCAAAAAGAAGCCTCCTGTCGTTTCACCCACCCTCCTTCTTTCTTCCCTCTCCTCTTTCTCCCCCCTCTGCGTCAACGACCCTCAATCCTCGAACGAAAGCGCACCGCCAAGAGACCCCGAAAGGCCTCCCAGAAGACCCCAGGCGACTCCCAAAGAGGCGCTTTGTCCATGACCAGTTTTGCCTCAACTTGACACAGAAAGCTCTCCAGGGACCTCATCCTCATCCTCATCCCCCCCTCTTCCTCCTCCTCGTCCTCTTCCTTCACCTTTTCGCTCGCCATGAGCACACACGCATGTAGCACCAATGATGCAAGATGGGCCGGCGGAGTGAGCGAAGCGATTCAATGTTATCATGTGTAGCACGACCTCCTATTGGGATTGGAACGCGCCCCCACCTCGCACACGGAAGGAACTCGCGCGCGGCCCCACTCCCCACGACCTGGCGAAGTTGCAACTGCGCGGGCCGCGCAAGGGCGGCAGCGGCCAGACTTCCGATGGGCGCAGCGAAGGCGACACATGCGCCGCGCTGACACAGCACTGCTACAGTCGGGGCGTTGACCTAAGGAACCCTAAATAAGGAACGAGGCCCCTTTGTCCCGTAAGTAAACTTCGATATCACATGGAAAACTTTAGGAACACCCAAGGCAAACTGCAAAACAATCAAGGAACACCGAGCCCCTCCCCAACGGAAAAGGTTCTTTCTTCAGCGCCCCGACTGTACGTTCACACTGTCATGTGCTCCGGCGAGGAGGCACCACGCCCCGCGCCCGCGCCGAAGCGCCACTTTGCCAGCCAAGTGCGCACGGAGCTAGGGTGAGGGCGACAAGTCGCCCACTTGCGCGGGCCCCCCCCACTCGCGCGTAGGCCACGCCGAGGCGACGAAGCGCCACTCCCAGGCGAAATCTGCGCGGCGTCGAGGCGAAAACTACATTTTCGCCCGTTCGGGCGTGAACGACAGCGCGTGCGAAAAACGTGACGTGCGCCGCGCCCGAGCGGGAGCTGAATTCTCCAGGAAGCGAGCGGGGCGCCGAAGCGAGGGAGAGACATCCCCGCCTGTCGCGCGAGATGCGCGCCCCGTCCCACTCCCGCACTGGATCTTGCAACATTTTTTGACCATTCGGGCGTGAACGACAACGCGTGCGAAAAGTGTGCCCCCCTCCCGAGGAGGATCTCAGTCCTCTAGAACAGTGAGCGCCTCGCCAATGCGAGAGAGACACTTCTGCCTTTCGCGATGCGGTGTGCGCCCTGTTCCACTCCCGCACTGAATCTTGCAACATGGGCGACGTAACATCCATGGTGAGGAGACACATACTTTTGCTGCATTGTGTTTTGGCAAGTCGGATGGGCATGCCCGGATCCCGCGGCTATCGGCCGTGGCTACGGTGGCCTAAGGGGAAGCCTCGGCCGAGCGTAGGGTTGGGTCATAGGGATGGGCCTAAGGAGAGATCCTAAGGATAGACCTAGGGGAAGTCTAGGGGTGAGCCCAAGGGGTAGGGCCTCGGGTTGGTTGACCTCGAGCCGATCAGAAGACCTCGGTCACTCCAGCAACATAATAATAGCTTGCGGCGCAAATTGACACTTGGATTGGAACATAATAATAGCTTGCGGCGCAAATTGACACTTGGATTGGAACGTGCCCCCACCTCGCAAACGGAAGGAATTCGCGCGTGGCCCAGCTTCCGACGACTTGGCCAACACGCAAGTACGCGGGCCGCGCAGGGGCGACAGCGGACAAATTTCCCGCTGGCGGCGGCGAAGGCGAAACCTGCGCCGCGCTGACACAGCATGGCTACGTTCACACACAACCTGCGCGGCGTTTGGGCGAGGACGGCCTTTCACCCGCTCTCGCGCGGCCCCGCTGCCGCTGTCGCTGTCGTGCGCGTCGGCGAAGAGGAGCCACGCTCCGCGCCTTTCGCTGAAGCGCTACTTCCCAGCCGCGTGCGCACGGAGCTTGGGCGGAAGCGACAAGTCGCCCACTGGCGCGGCCTCCCAAAAATGGGCGATGACAAGTGTGATGTGCGCCGCGTCGGGGCGGGACTGCCACTTTCGGGCGAAATTTGCGCGGCGTCGAGGCGATAGCGACGTTGTTTGCCCGTTCGGGCGTGCACGAGAACGCGTGCGAAGAATGTGTCCGCCGCGCCCGAGCAGGAGCTCAGTCCTCTGGAACAGTGGGAGCAACGCCAATGCGAGAGAGACACTTCTGCCTTTCGCGATGGGAGGTGCGCCCTGTTCCACTCCTGTCGCGCCTTTTGCAACATGGGCGAAGAGATGTCCAGGTCGAGACGAAGCACGTACATGCTGTTGTCTTGAAAAACGGAAAGCACTTCGGATGGGCAGGCCTGGATCTGGCCGCTATCGGGCGGCTGCGGTGGGGGGCAGGGGTAGATACCAATCAGGAACGAGGGTACGCCCTGGGGTAGGCCTACACTCTGGCGTCTCTATGCATGAAGCCCCTTGTGGATGCCACGACCATGGACACCCTAACAATCCTAGCATTGAATTAAAGATGTGTTGAACATGTGTAAAACATGTTCAAAAATGGTTAACGCATGTTTTTAACATCTTGAAAACAAAGTTGAAACATCTTTTAGACATCTGGAATTTGTTTGGCAACATGCTTCCTCGCCATTGAACGTGCAGCTCATGGGCTGGATAGGGCCTGCCCGGCCCACGAGCTGCACGTTCAAATCCAAGCAATTCGTGGCACTCTGCGTGTCTCGTCAACGACCCTGACTTCAACTTTCCCGGCAATGACCCATTATGAGGTCGCGAATGCTCCTACCGATGCGATGTGCTGATGCCCTCCAGCAAGCTTTGCCTCTGCCCACGGCCCCTGAAGCTGGCCACCACCGAAGTACTTACTCGCGCTCGAGCTACCACATCGGCAGCGCACTAGTTCTCTGAGAAGCGTCCAGCCCTGCCTGTCGGTGCCCACCGACGAGCCACCGTAGATAACGACAGATCAAGATGGGCTCCTGGACCTTTCCTGGGGTTCAACGCACCAATTTTCAGAGCGGTGCCCAGCTGTGGCGTCGGGGGAGGTCCCCACCAACACCGACGCAAAATGGATTCGCGGACCTCTCCCGGGCTTCAAACTAACAGAAATGCCGAGCTGCGCTCCGGAGCCCCGTCGGGCCGCTCAGAAATGCCTGGGGCCCCATCCCTCCCGGAGAAGCCCCTAGACAACACTAGATGGCTTGGAAATGCCCCAGGGAGGATCGAAGACGTCCCTAAATGGCCTCCGCGCGACCCCAGATGGCACCAAGAAGCCCCAAGACGGTCTCAACGCAATCCAAATAGTCTTCAACACGCCTCCAGAGTGCTCCAAGAAAGTTCCCAGGAGTGCCCCAGCGAGCTAAAATCAGTCCATTCCTTCGGCAAGCTTGCATTCTCAACAAATTTGCGTTTCTCGCCTTCAGAGCATCCAAGACGGCCCCAAAAGCATCCAGAATCGCCCCAAACTGCTGCAGACGGCCCTAAAACGGCCCAATAGGCGGCCAAGTGAGCCGGCCCGAGACAACCAAAAATAGCTCTAGGGCGGCCCCCAAACAGCCAAAGACGTCCCACATCCAAGCGGCCGCAGAGAGTCTTCAAGAGCCACTCTAAGAGAACATGGGGCTGACGAGGAAATGAGAGCACGATCGAGGAAAGGAGAAGATGTGCCTTGAACCATCGAAGTATATACCCCGCGCACCTTCCTGCCGATGACTAGGCATCCTCAGTTCGATGCCTGGGTACAATCAGGTCGACGCCCAGGCATCACAAGGTCGATGCATGGGCACCACCAGGCATCACTCGATGCATGCATCCATGTATGTAGCTGGACGTAGCTGGGAGTAGCAAGTGCCTAGGTATGCGTCGCGGGATGTCTAGGCATACCCATGCGGATGCCTAGGCATCAGCAGTGGCATGCCTAGGCACCCGCAAAACCATGCCTGGGTATACTACGATGATGCTAGGGCACTTAGGCAGTGGGGGGGTCAAGGTGATGGCTGGGACCAGAGCGAGCGGGCCAACACAAATGTCATTCTGCTCATGGTCATGACCGCGAAATCTCGTTCATGGTCCGGGAACCACGATATCGTATTCATGGTCCATGTTTTGATCATGGTCATGAACGCGACATCTCATTCATCGGCTGGCATGACTATGACCACAAAGTCTCTGAACGTGACGGCCGGCATGGATCATGACCACGACAGGTATCTCACTCATGGGCCATGATCACGATCATGACCGCAACGGCCGCCATGGACCATCAGCACGGCCCGCATGATGGGCCAGGAATCGGCGACGACTGGCGTCCGACGAGATCCCGACATCTTGTTCATGGTCAATGGGGTAGGAGGATCGCGCCGTATCATCGTCGGCGATGCCTCGGCGACGTCGGCGATGAAAAGAACGTGCTTCGCATCGAGCCGCATCGCCGATGCATCGCGATCGCCCGACCCCATCTACTAGAACCCCACCTGAGCGACGAAAGGAAACAGGCCGTACGCGAGGAAGCATGGCGACCTGACGCCGCGGCTTCCGCGGGCCCCCCGCGCGGCACCCGGCTTTTGGAGGCGAGGGCGCTTGCGCGCGAGACCTCACGCGGGAATGCCAAGGAAGACGCATTCGCTCTCGCCCGTCGCTCAGGGGGCTGCAGGGAGGGCGGAGGAGGGCGGAGGAGGAGGAGGAGGAGGAGGAGGAGGAGGAGGAGGTAGGAGGCAGGAGGTGGAGGAGGAAGACGCTTGAAGGAGGAGGAGGATGGTGCAGGAGGATGGAGGGAAGATGGGATTGGGCAGGGTAAGGTCGAGGACGAGGATGGAAGGAGGGTAGGAGGAAGGAGAGAGGAAAGGAGCGGATGAGGAGGAGGAGGGAAGGGAGGAGGAGGAGGAGGAGGAGGGAGGATTGAGAGGAGAGTGAGGGGGAGCCTGTAGTAGAGCCATGAGAGGGGCCTTCTGCGCCGGCGCCTGCGCGGCGGCCGCTCCCGGGGAGGCGGCGGCGGGCTGCCGCGGCGCGGCGCCCGGCGCCAGGCCGCCCAGGCCCCCGGCAGCGGCGCCTGCGGCTGTTGGGCGGGCCCGCTTGGTCCAGGCGCCGCAGCAGCAATACAGTCGGGGCGTTGACCTAAGGAACGATAAATAAGGAACGAAGCCCCTTCTCAATCCCAAGGAATAACGCATAAGGAACGATCAATAACAAATAACGCACAAGGAACTGTAAATAACGCATGCAAACCTAAGGAACGACCGAGCCCCTTTTGAAAAGTAAGTGTTCCGTATTCAAGCCGCTCACTGTAAGCTGTTTTTCTTTGGGCGCGGCGGAGATCTCTGAATGCTGTCGAGCGGTTTGGGGAGTGGGTTTTGAGCGAAGCGGTTTTTGAACTCATAGTGGATGAATTCAAGAAGCTGCTTGTGACTCCGCCGGCCCTGTCGGCGTGCGTGAGGGGCTGTGCCGTTCGTCGTCGTCGTCGGCGTCGTTGCAGTGCTCTAGCGGGCTTGAGGGAAATCGACCCATGTCGTAACCACGTCAAAGGGAAGCCCCTTCCCTTTGTCCCTTCCCCGGCGGGGGGGGGTCCCGGGGGGGTTCCCGGGGGGGGGTCGCCACCCAGATACGCTTTCATTCCCCGCGCGCTCCCCGCGCGTCTGGCGCGGTCCCCGCGCGGTTCCGGAACCCCGCGCGGCTTCGGAAGCTCACAGACATCCCCAAGGTAATGCCACGAGCCTTTCAAAATACCCCCAGCCGTCCAAGACTCTCCCACATGATGCCAAAAGCAAGCCCTCGACGACAGGAATCTTCCGAGCCGTCCACGGATGCCCCACAGAAACCAAAGAAAAAGGCCCGAAGCCTAAGGAAATCCCATGTTTGGCTTTCTCGCTTTTTCGCTTCCGAAGGGCTGCGAGGGCTGCGAAAGGCGGCGAGGCGGGGCTCCACCGACGGGCAGTCAGGGCGCTCGGGAAGCCCAGACCTCTGGCGTCTTGAGAAGATCGGTTCAGTTCTTCACCACGGGTCCGGTTTCGAGACTCTCCGGCCCCCAAGATGGCCCCCGAAGGCCGACAATGACGAAAGACTAAGCATGTAGCACAAGTCCCCCTCCTCCTCCTCC